TATATATTATAAATGTCATTCTATTATGACTCTCGGAAATATGTAAAAAGCATATAAATCAACCGTATAAATCAACAGCTTCATGAAGTATGAGCTGAACGTCAAGCCTTAATTAATGACAACTGGGCCCCCATATGAAAATCTCGATTGATAAAACATACCTAAAACATAGCTAAACATGCCCAGCCCAGACTTAATTCATATAATTTCCATTTCCATTCCACAGTGCCCCATTGGGTTTTCCCTATTAGCTGCCGTGTCCAGACCTCGGCATTTATCTGCTTGTCGAATGGTGGTTTACGGCACGGGAATCCGTTGACTCCCAATTTGCCGCGATGTCAATGGAAGCGCTGCCGTCGAATGCACTGAAATAAATACCAGTAAATTGTAGTAAATTAAAAAAAAAAAAATGAAATGTGCCCACACTTATTACGCCCATTAGGCGTGGGAGTTGTATGACTGATCTAATGAATGGTCCATTCTGGAGGACATGGCGCTGGGAAGCGAAGCATGTGTGACAGGCTCTCGGACGGATTGTGATAGAGGGGACATCATTAATAATACAAATACAAGACTCATTCGTAGTCCGTGCATCAAAGCGCTCGGCTCTTTCATATTCCGCAAGCATTGCTCTGGCACATGGAATCGAATCATGGCCGGAGTTGGTCATAATTGAAGATATCTGTGTGGGGTCGCATAGGTGACAATAAAATAAATGCCATTTACTGATGACTCATCAACATAATTTTTACGATTCGACCCCATTCAATGAATAAACAAATAAACCGAGGGCCGAACAGAACCTAACCTGGCTTCACTTATTGCCAGGACCAAGACCAGGACCAGAACTAGTTTGAGCGTATCACGAAAGCATTTCGCATGCATTGACTTTTTATGGCAAGCAGAGAGAGAAAGAAAGAGAGAGAGAGTGAGAGAGAGACACAAATAATGCGAAATCATTTAGTGGAACTTCCATAGCGTCTATCTCTATCCTTCGTCTCTCTCTCTCTCTCTCTATCGCTCTGTCTCGAAAGTCATAAAAATCCGCACCAAATGAAATTCTCATCAAGTCGCCAGTTGGCACAATTTCATTTGGCGCTAAGCAACTGAACACGGCCAAAATGACCCAGACCCAAACACACACACAAACACACTATATATAGATTTGTGTGCGTGTGCTAGCTATGGTCACGGAACCAAAGCTCTGTCGTCCTCACTCTGGCCAACTCGGCAATCGCGCATGACTAACGTAATCAGCTCACGTAACGCCGAATGAGATGAGATGAAATCAGCATACACTCAGACTGCATAAATAGCGAATTTATACTCAACTGGATGTCCTCTATCCATTCACGGCCTGGCTCTATTTCCACGTCCATTCCGATAGCTCGGCCCCGAATGATGCAAGCAGAGCTTTGTTGATCTGCAGCACGCGATAAAATCATGTCCATACATTCCCATCGCGCATTCTTGTTGTTCTTCCACAAGCAAATTAACAAAATGCTTCACTAAAAATATATACTAAATATGTTGATCAGGTCTAAGCATAGGCCAGCTGTGAGAGATTAAATTATGATATGAAATAAATAATAAATAAAATAAATACTTTT